GAACTATCCATAATTTCGTGCTCAGTGGATTAACACTCATTTTTGTTTGTTTTACCCTGTATATGCGGTGTTGTAAGAATTGTGCTGTTCTTCGTATATCCTCTTTCCCCTTTAAAGCACAATCTTGTCCAAACTGTAAACCCCTGGAGATAATTTCTACATTTTCATTATGAACAAGTGGAAACAATAAAGTTGATCGATTAGTCCAAGAAAGTCAACTAGAACCGAGACATTATGATTAGGATTGTTTGAGATGAAACATCTCGAGAATCGATGACTTCTAATCTAAGCGCTAGTCATCTCGTGTGAGCCCATACGCCCAAATTTACATGACCCATTAGTGAATGTTACACGTGGCACCCGAAAGCGTATAGACATTTAGGCAAGGATACCGGTTGAGTCTTGGATTACAGAAATATTATTGTCCATGCATATAGCTGGAATCGATCCATTGACCTTATGACAAGATTCTGGCGGATTGAATATTAGAAGGGGGATTAGGCACAGTGATAAAGCAGCGCGGGACAATATGCCAGAAGAATATGTAGCAATGTCTAAAAATTTTAATAAAATGATTGCATATTTAGTTAGTATAATAATTATAATTAAACTGATTCGTCGTGTTTGAAATGATATTTATTTTATTATAAAAATACACACTATAAAAAATAATTAAAATATGTATGTCTCAAGATCCTGTTACAAGGGAATATGCTATAATCATGTATTATTGTAAAGGTGGGGATAGACTATGACATGGACCGCAGTTCAAGGTTTAAAAAGAATTCACTATCTACAGCAATTTTTTATGCTCAGAAGTGGTTATATCTGAAGTTTTTGAAGAGAGTTAGCGTAAGAGGGATTTCACACTATTATAAAAACAACTGACAGCCTTGGCTAATCAGTTTCCTGATTTATCAGGCAATGATGGGTCGAGCCGTAAATTATTATTTTAATTTTAGCTAACTCCTTTATGTAATTAATTGTATTATAAATTGTGTATTTATTTTTCAAATATAATAAACATCCTGGAATGAGGTTCCGTTGGTTAAAAAAAAAATTGTAAAGGTGGAGATTTGAAAGATTTCCATTAAAATAAAGAGAAACCATTGTTTTGAAAAGACAGATTAATATATATATATATATTAAATGAATTATGATTAGATGAAATTTATACGTGACACCTGAAATATTACGTGAATGATAATTGTAAATGAAATCATGTAATCCATCCCAGAGACCAATTAGTAATGAAATAGATAAAAGTTATAAAATGTGAAGAAATGAAAAAAAAAAAAAAAAAAAATAATATTGATGTGGAATCAGAAAGATCAACAACACAACATCCTGTAGTGCTATACATGTGATTTTTTCTTGTATTTTTTTCATTCTGTGACAACGTGTACGATAATAACCGGTAAAAAATAAATTTAGTTACACAGCATTTTCAATTATTGTTGTATAAATATAGCATCATGTTCTGTTAATCGCAAAATTGAATAAATTGAATATAAAAATTTTGAATAAGAATAATGTCAAAATTAAAAGAAAAGTTAACAACAACATCATCAACATCAACATCAACAATTAAAACAAATATAAAAAGTAAAACGACGACGACGAATAGTATCGAGAAACCCTCAAATTTCATTGGAGCGATTCTATTTGGAACAGCATTTGCAACACGTCTTATATTATTTCAGTTTTCTAATATTACTCAAATACTTGGTAGTCGAGTAGAGATTGTGACGCCGGTAACGAGTTTTAACCGACGTATGTGGTTATAACAAATAATAAGTAGGTCAACAACAAGTAGTGACCTTTCGTATGAATGAAACAATTTTTTTATAAAATTATTATTATTATTGTTATTATGTAGTAACGGAAGGTCTCTATTTATTTGATAATGGAGTTTCACCTTATGATGGAGGAGTTTTTCATCAGGTAAATAATTTCTGGTGTAGGATTTTTACGTTTTTGTTATTTATTTATTTATTCATTTAAAGAATTAAGAATTAAATGATATTTATATAAATATATAAATATATATATATATATATAGGCACCATTACTATTAGCATGTTTTCAATTACTTGGATATCTTCCAAGTTTTTCGATCAAATTAATTTATATAATAATAGATTTAGTGTTGGCTTATCTTTTGGCAAATATTACAAGGATAAAACAAGAATTATATAAAGATTATCCACGATTAGATATAGAATTGGATGAAATTAATCCTTGGATTATTTCTGGACTGTATCCTTTTTTATTTTTTATTTTTTATTTTTTATTTTTTATTTTTTATTTTTTATTTTTTATTTTTTTATTTTTTATTTTTTTTATTTTTATTATGATTATTATTATTTACATTATATATTAATACAGGTATCTATTTAATCCATTAACGATTGCTTCATGTCTCTCACAATCAACACTTATATTTACCAATCTATCAATTATTCTTGGAACTTATTATTCTCTTAAAAGTAAGAAATACAATAATAATTATTTGTATTTTCTAATTTATTTTAATTTAATTTATTTTATTTAATTTAATTTATTTAATTTTTATTATTTTTTTTAAAAAAATTATTTAGATCATAAAAGTTATGGAATGTTTTGGATTGCTATGGCAACTTATTTAAGCTTTTATCCATTAATGTTAGTTATTCCTACTACATTTATGTTTACTAATAGTGCAAAATTTAGAGGAAAGAATTTAAAGGTTAATATAATAATAAATTGGGGGTTTTTTTTTCTATTTATTTAATTTTTATTTAATTTTAATTTTTAATTTTAATTTTTAATTTTTTTTCGTCATAATTTTATTTTTTTTTATCAGAATGAAATTTTTGGATGTGCGGGTTTATATGTTGGATGGTTGACGGGATTATTAATTTTGTCTTATTTATTTGTTAATTCCTGGGATTTTTTATCCGCTACATATGGAGTAATGTAATTATTATTTAATCATTATTCATTCTTAATATTTATATATATATATATATATTATAATTAATAATATTTATTATTATTTTGAATCCAGTCTTCTCTTGCCAGACCTAACACCTAATATAGGTCTGTTCTGGTATTTCTTTATTGAAATGTTTGATCAGTTTAGAAGTTTTTTCTTGGTGGTATTTCAATTGCATGCATTCGTTTTTGTTGTTCCTGTATCTTTAAAATTCAGATATGGAAAATTTTATATTTTAAAAAATATCAAATATATTTATTTATTATTTTTTTTTTCATTTTATTTTTATAATTTTATTATTTATATAATTTATTTATTTTATTTTATTTTATTTGTGTATAAAAGGAAGCATCCCTTGTTTGTGGTTTTTATGCTGAGTGGAATAATGGCAGTATTTAAGTCATATCCATCCATTGGTGATGCTTCTCTTTATCTTGCTTTCTTACCAATCTATTCTGAAATTGTAAAATGTAATTATTATAATTTCTATTTGTTTTTTCTTAGTTTATTTCTAATATTTTATTTATTTCTCTGATCTTAATCCTAATCCTAATCCCAATTTCAATAATAATAATAATAATGATAATGATAGATATGAGATATAACTATCTTACCACAAATATATTCTGTTATTGTTCAATATTATCACCAATCTTTTATCATTTATGGATATATGCAGGTAGTGGTAATGCTAATTTCTTTTATGCTATAACTTTAGTATATAGTACAGGTAATATTATATTATTAGTGGATGTTACTTACTCTATGCTTAGAAGGGAATTTGATATTTGGAATCCTGATTTAAAGAATTGTGAAATTACTCAAAATTGATAATAGAGAGTAGGTGACAGTAAGTAATTAGCATAGCTTGTGAGCATTTAATAATAACAATAATAATAATGGTGAGTAATAGAGAATAAAAAAATCTGAGAAAATTTTAAGACAGTATATAAAGTATATAATATCTCCTTTTTTTTTTCTTTTCTGAATGTATTTTTTTTTAATTTTTTATTTTTTCCTTTTTTTTTAAAAAAAAAACACAACTCTTGTATATCAAAAATTCACATTAATATTATACTTTTGTAAAATAAATTAATTAATTAATAAATAAATAAATGTGAAAGAATTTAATCAAAAATTTCATACATATATAGTATAATGTATGCTTATTTGATATTCTATTTATGTTTATTATGATATTATGCTTATATTCTGATATTTATACTTTACAATACTATGTTAGACTTATTTGATATTTATACTTTATGATGATTATTACTTAATGATACAATATTATGAGGTCTCAGCGACGGGAACAACTAATCCTAATTATACTTTAATATATATTTATTATTATCATTTCTTTACAGTAATACAGTTAATAACAGTTAATAACAGTTAATAAATAATTCTATAATTACATTTTTGGAGATTGTTTCATTATAACCTTAGAACGATAACGATATCTAATAGACTTAAATTTAAAATCGATCAAATACCGATTTGGTTTTTTCGTTTGGCGTGCGCGTACAGGGATATTTATGAATATCTGACGTTATATAATACTTTTATATAATCGATATCATTGTGTAATTGCATCGGATATTATATATCGTGCGTGCATATTAATTATAGAAACAATAATTAAAAAAATAATTTCGAGACCAAGCTTTAATTACATGAAGTGTTACTTAACGCGTTTTATAAAATAATTACCTAGGGGTAAAAGTTTTATTCATTCATTCATTGATCTCGACTTCTTTATCTTTCTGTTTGTTATATTTGTCAAAGTTTATTTCCACGATAAGAAAAAAGAACGAACACAATAAATCTTATTTTGTACTACTTTAAATAAAGTTTTTTTTTTTTTAAAAAAAAAAAAAGGTTTTCGTTGGACATCCTACAAACCATTTTACCCACTTATAAAACACTTAACTTTCGATATTTACAAAGAAGGTAATCAAAATGATTTCTTAATTATTTAGTCAAAGTAACTTTTACGAATCATTGCCACTTTGGTATGTAATATGAAAGAAGGAAAAATGAATTTATGAAAATTTTCTGCACTCCTGGTCTATTCACACTATCATATCATACAAACTCATACACATGATACACAAAATTCAAATTCATACACATAATGCACATTCAACTTTCATGTAACAGTTTACAAAAAGAAGAAAGAGAATATGCATTGCATTTGAAAATCATAATGATCATAATAAAAAAAATTAAAAAGGTGAAAATGAAAAAAAGAATGATCACGCTAAGTACGGAGAATTTGCATAAGTTGCATACTTGCATAAATTTTCATAATAGATTGTATAGTTTCCATAGTATTATTATGCCAAGGAAAACATAACAAATAATGAAAAAAAAAAATGAAACAAAAATAAAAACTTTAAACTGTAAATAGACTTTTTTTAAATTGTTTCTATTGAATATTCTTAATATTCTTTAATTTAATTATTCTTCTTTAATGATTTTCTTTCAATGATTTTCTTAATATTTTTTGTTTCGCTTTCTAGATTCTTCCTAATTAATTTTCAATTTTTTATGCAAAAAAACATTGATGACACGAGCTCTTCGGAATTCTTATATTTTCTACATAAAGAAGTTTTTGAATATTTGTATAATCCAAAAATGGAAATTTTCAAATAATGGATTTTGTTTTTCCTATTCTATTTCACATATCTAATATGTAAATAGTATGTAAAGTGTGCATATAACTGATGAATCATCTCGTTGTTCTTTTGTTCTATCAGATGTTGTGTGATGATGAAAAATGTAAAATTGGCGTAAAAAAAAATTAAATATACTCACATATATTACTATTCATTTATGTTCGTTTTTAAATAAAATTGTCCGAATTATTAAATAACTTGGTAAAATTACAGAAAATAAGTCAAAGTTAAACGTGATTAATGATGAGATATGATGGTAAAAAAAAAGAAACGTAGATTATGAAACAATAGTATAAATGTAAAAAATGTATAAATGTAAAAAATATATAAATGTAAAATGTACATTTGTAAAAATGGTATAAACTTATTAATTCTTTTCATTTTTTATTATCTACTTTTTTTTTTTCTCAAGAAAACCTGTTAATTATGCACTCCCAGCCAAATATCATCTTTTTTAGAATAGCTTATCATAAATCAATTATTATTATTATTATCATTATTATTATTATTATTATCTTATTATAATTTTCGCATCAATCTCATTAACTCGATGAACTAAAAAAATCACCTGTTTATCTTGTTCGTTATGGCAATTCATTTCCCTCAACATACTCATTTATCAATTACTAATGCAACCAGTCACCAGTCTTTGTTTTTACTCATTTGGTGGCAAAAATTTTCTCAATGAATGAATCTCTTTACGTATTAAATCTTGTTTTTTTTACATTGAAATAAAATGATTGGTTATTTCAAAAAATTCTACTTTATTAAGTTAAATAAATAATTTTAAGAAGAATAATAATAAATATAATAAAAGTAATAGTAAAATAAATAAACATTTAAAAAAAGAATGTCAATAGATATATATATATACATATAATCATAAAAACTTTAAAATTTATAAAACTTTTTCTTTATTTTCTTAAATATAGAAACGTTTACTTGAAACACAAGGGGGGATGATTATTGTCATCATTCCAAACAAAAAAAAAAAATCACCTCGCATTATTCCAGTAGAAACCTGGTATGTACATATCGATATGTACAGCATAATATATACATATATAACGTTTGAATAAAGTAAAAAGGTTTCCAACTATTTATAGTATATATGTATTAAATGTATAAGTTCTTCAATATATGTAGTATATGTAAAAAAATATAGTTTATAAAAATATATTTAGATAGATATTAGATATATATATATACACACTTATCTCAATCCATCTTCTAAACTTCTAAAACAGTTTCATTCTTACCGATATCAAAATTTTTATCCTTTTCTTTTCATTTTTTTTTTTCTTCTAAAAAACAAAAAAAAAAACAATAATTATTTAATTAATTATTGATAACAATAAATATTCATTATATTAATATTAATTAAAAAAAAAAAAGTCGTTTAAATAAAATTACCAAAGCTTATAGCAATTTGTATATAAATTTTTAGAATATTCATATTATTATTATTCGAATTTTCGTTATTCAAATAAAAAAATTTTAATAATAAAATTTAATAACAAAATCTAAACAAAAAATGTCCGAAACAAGAAGACTTGCTGTTTCTTCATCAATTCGCCCTTCAACAATCTATACTTCAAATCCATTATCACGTGATCGACCTATATCATCATCCCGTCCTTTATCCACTCACTCTACACGCCCATATTCTTCTATTCAAGATAATTCAAAACTCTCCTTTCAATCATCATCACGTCCCTCTACGATTTATATATCCGCCAATGTTTCTCAATCATTTAAAGTAGTACGTCGTCAACGACAACGAAAACCAAGTCGTCGAGGTACTCATAACGTATTAAATCAAACTTTGGATAATTTTTATAATACTTTAAGACGTACCAAAACTTATCAAACCGTTAAAAGTGCAAAGAAATGGGTTAATGAATATGAAAGTTATCGAAAATCAGTAATATTAGAAGAGAAAGAATATGAAAATTATCGATTTTCTATGATCATGTCATTAAACGAGAATGAAAATGAAAATGAAAATTATGATTATGAGAATTGGAATGATTATGAACAACAAGTTAATGTTAATAATAATAATAATAATAATAATAACAACATTAATAATCGTTATCGAAGATATGATGATGAAAATAATTCTTCTATTTCTCCCGTAACAAAAAGACAATCTCGTTTATCACCATTATCGACATCGACAACATTAGGTAGAGAACAACAAATGATCAATAGATATCAAAACAGTTTGAGTAATAATCAAAAACATAAAGTTACCGAACCACTTTACTCGAATTATTTCTAAAAATATCATTCATTTATATTTTATTCAATCTATATATTATTTGTCACGTGTGCAAACACAAAATTCTTTTTCTCTGGTCAACATCGTCAATTCAACTTTACCTTTTTTCTCTCTTGTTGACATCGTCGACTTTAAAAATTCAACCCCCATTACTACCACTATACCCTTGTACATTTTCTCGTTCTTCACTTCTTTTTTATAACATCTTTTTTTTTCATATTATTATCACAAAAAAATATAATTATATATATTACCAAATTATTCTTTTTTTGAAACTCAATTTTCTCTCAGAACAATAACAAACAACAACAACAATAATAATAATAATAACTTCTCGATTACTAACCAAATTGTTTGTTATTTATTATTTATTTACTTATTTATTTTTTATTTATTGAGTGGAGCTTTATTTATCTTTAGTTTAAATTTTTATTTTCGTAATTTTTTTTTTTAGTTTTTTAGTTGAGATAGAAAAATGGGTTTCGTCACTTGTAAATATAAAATTAAAATTATACATACATTTCAAAAAAATAATAAATTTACCTTAAGAGCGATCGCCCTGGTGGTGAATTTTTTTTAAAAAAAATTATTTATATTATTTTTATTATATATTTTATTAAATAAAAATTAAATAAATAAAAAACAGTTTATTAAAAAAAAAACCCCATAAATTTTTAAAAAATGAATTTAATATACATGACATGATTTAAAATCAATCAACCAACCACCAAGTAAATAAAATAAAATTACAAATAATTTGAGTTATTATTATACATGTATACTAATTTTCTAAAATAAAACTATTTGAATATAAAGAGAAATTTAAAATTGTTGTATTAAATTTTTATAAAGTATCTTTCACCTTTGTTCTTTTTCTTACAAAATCATGTTGATCTTCATTTGATAATTCTTCTAAAGTTTTTCCTTTCGTTTCAGGAATTAAGAAAGTGAATAATAAACCAGCAAACATGAAAGCAGCAAAAATCTGTAATAAGTGAGGTAGAAAAGCATTAGAGCCTTTTTCTCCTACTTGAGCAATAATAGCTCCTAATTTTCCTGATGCTGCACTAATACCGTGACCAGTTGATCGATAACGGGTAGGGAAAACTTCACCGGGAACAATAAATGTTGTTGCATTGGGTCCAAAGTTCATAAAGAACTATATATATATTTTTTTTTAAAAAAAAAAAAAAAATTTCAATTAATTTTAACATATTTAGCATAGAAAAATCCAAATAAAACAAAAATAATAATAATACCTGAATTAATGTAAAGATTACAATGAAAAGAGGTATAGATTTATCTTTAATTGGGTTAAAACCAAATCCGAGAACAATGAATAATGCGGTAAGAGCTGTAAAGCCCATAAGTTGTATAGGCTTTCGACCCCATGAATCCACTAAAGCAACGGTAA